GTTTATAAAGAGTCCTCTTTTTAATTAATTTCAAATGCCTGTACTAATATTCCAGAAGATTTTTATATTTAGACGCTATAAATGGAATATTTGCAACATATTAGAGTAAGGAAGACTACCCATTAAAACCCAACAAAATAATGGTAATAGAATTGATAAACTCAGTAAAACTTAGCAATAACCTTTTGTTTTTCAAGGTCATACTTTTTTTATCAAAAAATTAAATTTTCCAACAATAAAGCAGTATAGTATGGCTTTCAAATTAATAATATAGCATCAGGTTGGAAAGATTGGAATACACAAGAAATATTATTAACATTTTACTCATAAATAGGTAGACTGTTATTCAAAAAATAATGACAAAAAAGCCACATAATATTTCGATTAAGAAATGGAATTAGAGACAAAATTGCAGTTTATAGAAATAGAAGATCCTAATTTGATTGTGTAAAATTTCAATAAAATTCATCAAATTTACTTAATTCTTAATAAGATCATTAAGAACAATTAATTTAATAATCAATAAAATTGAGTGGCTTTAAAAATTTAACTTGTAAAAGGATCATTGGGATATGTTTATAAAGGTGTATTGAAATATGAAGTCTGGGCTTTGAAGCAACAAGATAAATAAAGATTAAAGCAATCAAATAATTTGGACTATGTTTTGACTGAGGTTAAAATTTTAAGAACAATTAATCACCGTTTTATTTAAAACTATTTAATGTGTAATAAATAATTTAAAACTTTTTTTTTTAACTTTTCAAATAACAAAAACTTTTTATTTAATTGCTAGAGTTTATTACGAGACGGGTAATCCTTGATCTGAATATCAGCAGATTATTAATTGGATGAATAGTCCTTGCTATTGAGCATTTGCATAAGCACGATATCTTATACAGGGATCTAAAGCCAGACAAAATTTAAATAGATGCTTCAAGTTATGTATAACCAATAGATTTTGAGTTGTGTAAATTTATAATTGAGAATGAATTAACATATACACTATGTGGATCTCCAGCATACCTTGCACCAGAAGTTCTCAACAATAATGGAATGTCAATGTCAACAGATCACTACTAAATAAGGTTATTATTATATGCAATGCTTACTGGATATCCTCCATTTTATAAAAGAGAGATAAATGTATTAATCAATAGAATGAAAAATGGTATTTTGTACATTTATTTAGAATCTATACATATCCCAATGAATATGAATTAGGATGCTAAGGATCTTTTAAAGTTAATTTTTAAAAAGGAATGCTTTGGAGAGAATAAACATTGAGTAAATGAAAAACATAAGTTTTTTGAACATCTAGATTGGAACTTATTGGAAAAAAAGAGATGAAAATTCTATAGCTAATTAAAGTTTTCCCTTAATCTCAAAAAGCTAGACAAGATTTAGATGATTTTGATTATTGTCTTAATTATTATTTTTAAGATTGAGATTTTAGTCCGTATGAGAAGCTCGAACATTAAATAGCCAATAAATTAAAATCAGATATTTTTCATAATTCTATTACAATTTATGCTAAAATTAGAATTATACTATATATCAGTATTTTCAATATAAAAATTTCTCTTTTTATAATTTACTTAATTCTTCAATATAAGAGTTTCTTTATTCTCATTCTATACTTGAATAGGTACAATAGGAAAAAAAATCCTGTAACTAGAGTTAAAAGGATTATGAAAATAAATTAATAAAGCTTTTGAAAAAGTTTGAGTGATTATTAATAACATAATCATCTCTAATGATTAAACTATAATCTTACTAAAATAATTAAAATGAATATATTGCATGTAATTCACCTAACAGTTATATAGCATATTTATAAATGAAAAATAGAAATTAAATTGACCTATTATAATGTAATTATGTAAACCAATAATTTTTTTATCTGATCAAACTCTATTCTTTCTCAATCAATCCATTGTGATATAATTTCTAGCTAAGTAATTACAAATACAAGATACAAGATACAATATCAATCGATTGATTAAACCAAATGAATAGCAATTATATACAATTGAATTAGCTAGTGAATTTGAATTATAAAACCAAGCTTACTTGAATTCATCTCATTTGCTACTGAAGGAGATTCAGAAAATAATATTCAGATAAATTAATGTAATAGTTGTTTAAAGCAGAACTCTTAGGCAATCAATGATAATATTGAGAATTATAATTGACAGATGAATCGCCATACTAATAGAATAAGATTATGGAAATAAATATTTGTTTTATAAGGACTTTACATATTAACTTTTGAAAGGACTAAAATTTTCAATTTCTTTTATTCATCAGGACTTTTATCGTTGTTGGCTAATTATTATTAAATAAAAAAGCTAAACAAAGAATATTAAATTGTCTAATAAACAATTAAGATGATTGGTTCGAAATATGTATTCATAAATTTCAAATGTCACTTAAATTGACAAACTAGATGATTGCAAAGAATATAGTAAAGGTGAATCCATAAAATTATTGTTTATTTAGTTTAACTTTAATAAAAATTTGGATTATTTATCCTTTATTAAATTTTTAATAAATTTACTTTGGCAAAAAACTCTATAGATTAAGATTATGAAATATTAATAAAGAAGAACATCTATAAGAGGAAGCAAAAAAATTCATATAATAAAAAGGATGGCAAGTTTAAGGATTATTTTACCTAATAAAATAAATTGAAATTATATAAATTAGTGGACTTTATCCAAATAAGTACACCAAAGCTGATAATGGTGGATAATGTTTTCAGATTGAAATCAAATGTATAAATACCAAGAAACAGTGATAACCAAAATTAACTTGGGAAACTTAGTAATGACTTTTATTGTTACAATTATAAAATCAATAGAATTGATAAGCAAGGTAGTATTACGACAGATACATTCGACCACATTTAGAGGTGTTTTACTCCTGTTAAATATGTTATTGAAATCTTGGCAGTAGTAATGAAGTATTAAAATAATAATTCGAGAAATTGCATAGCAAAAAATTAGATTCAACCCAATACAAAGTAATGGAGGATCTAGATTTGCTTAATTTTGAAATTTTAATTAAAAACAATGTAATGTTTATATATCGAAAGTATTTGAAGACTAGTAGTAACTCAATAACAATTTATGAATGATCTTTATTTCATAGCCATAGGCATTAACTCTGAAATGAGAGGGCACTATGCCTTAGAGACAGGATTTTTACCTATTCCTTTATACTTTTTAGGATATAATAGTAGTAGATAATATCTAATCAATATCTTTACTTTAACAATATGCAAGTTTGCGATTATAATGGTTAACAACTTCCTGTTAAGATTACGTTTCACAACTATTACTGTTACAAGGAGACAGAAAAGTGTTATTATGAATATTAATTTTTTAAATGGGATATCGACAAAAAGGGGTTATCAAACCAAAGGGCATATGAAAATTACTAAGACTATTTGAATACAAAAAGTGGTTCAGAATCTTAAACCCAAATATACTATAATTCCGATTAAAGGTATGGATACAGAAATATTCAGCGTGTTGGTTAATAATATTAAAAATATTGGTATACAAATAATTAACATTTTAATTGTTGTCATCTTAGATGCTTGATAATGATAATGATATTATTTGTTGAATAAAGTAAAAATTCTATTACATTTGGGTACATTTATATTCTATGAAAACTAATAAATTTTATCCTCATCCCGATAACATAAAATAGAGTGTTTACTAAGAAACTTCAAAGTTTAGATTCCATAAGCTCCTTATTTCTTTTCTGATTCTTAATAAGTTATAGAGTTGTTCAGCAAAAGATAATATTGTATTCTTTTTTTAATCGATTTGATCTAACATTTTTAGAATGCATATCGCAAATAAAAAGGATTTTTCAAAATATTATTTAATTTAGAAAACTGATTAAATTGTTCAGGATTCAGTCGAAATATCAACTCAGAGGAGAAATCATAAAAGCATTTTTCTTTATGATAGTTTTAGCGAATTAGGCTAAAATATAAAGTTATCAGTTGATTATTTTTTCGAATTCATATTTTTTTTAACCAATATGTCCTAAGTACTAGAAAAATCCTTTTTACTTAAATTCAATTTCAGTGCTTAGTATTGATAAAACAAACTATAAAATATAATTCTTTAAAAATTAAATTTATGCTCTGTAAATACTATTTAAAATTGATTTTGAACTGCGGTTAAATTCAATTTCAAAAGCCAAGTAAATTTTAAACATTGAACTAAGATTTTAAAATCAAATGTGAACAACATTTAATTCTTTCATTTACTAATTTGATGTGTTTTATGTATGATTTATTTCATAATCATTTCTATCACAATTAAGTATCTTCCTTAAATTAATTGCATTTAAATATCGTAAATCAATTTTTGATTTTCAAATAAAGGAATAATTATTAGAGATGTTAATAAATTGATAGAACTTATATTATAATTTATTGAATCATTGAAAATAGTCAATTCCACTTAAATTTAATATTATAAATTTTTTCCTTTAATTATTCAAAAATCATGTACTCTACTTTGATAAATGTATTTTGGAATTAATTATTATTTTAGAATAGACAAGATTACAATTTATATTTGAAGTTAATCGCAGTTACATAAAACACCCTAATTTCCTTTTGATTTTCAACAATAGTTAAACTCTTGAGCTTCTTTGAATACTATTTGGTGTAGAACGAAGGCTCATTTTTTCAAATCCTGTTTAAGTGACTAAACAATGATTTTTAACGACTCTAACATTTTAATCTAAGTTTTAACTGTCTATGAATTTCTACCTTCTCAAAATCTTATTTACGTTTTCAATTCTTTGTCAGTTCTTTATTATCTTATTAGGCTAATAATCTTTAACAATGAGATTTCTTAAATCATTAATCAACAAATCGATTCTCAAAATATTAAATCAGCAATTTACTTAATTTTGAAATCAATAAATTCAACATCTCATTTCATAAATGCAAATACTTTAGAGTAGATTACATAAGATCCCTGAAAAGTGATTATGACATTTATCGAAATCAGTTAAAACAAAGACTATGTGTTAGACATGAAAAATTTTAAATTTAATATGGAGCAGCAATAAAGAAATTTTACTTAAGTAATAAATATCAAAAAAAGAACAACTTAAAATAGAACAAAGGAGATGAGAAAATGTAAGGATTTTTCTAATAATTGGACATAATCAAACATTCATTTTGACAACCTTCAACTCTAAGATCGATATCTTATTATTATTTAAAAGAATATTTGATTATTGAATTAAATGGCTGTCATACAATTTTAATAATAAATTTAGAGCTTCTCTTTCACATCCGAAACAGATTTAAACTTGCTTTGATACTTTTATTAAAGCCTTTCCATAAAATAAAAGGATAAATATACCATAATTTAGACTATTTTAAACATATAATCAAAATTGATTGATACTGTTCTGCTATTACTTAAAACCTTTTTTTTATAAATCTAATGCATTCTTGTTTCAGACATTTAGGATTGCTCATTCTTCATAGATATGAAAAATTAGAATTCAAAGAGTATATTTTGGATGATTGCAAAATTCTTCTCTCTCTACTAAACTATTTCATCCAATTTTATAAATTTGATTGTTGAGGTTTTAATTTAATATATAAATCTAAATTGAATAATAATAAAACTTTTGATTTGTGTGATAAGTTTTGCTTTTATCTTTTTGAATTGGCAATTATATTAATAGTTTGAAGTCTTTTGAATTGATAATTTATCTCCAAAATTTTTTGCTCTAAGGGCAAAGATAGAAAACTTGATTATTTAGGATCTAAATAAAATATTATTTTTATCAAATCGCTTCAACTTTTAGTCCCCTATAGTTGATTTTGAGCTGCTAAATGATATCATCTTATTGAAATCTTTGAATTGAACCTTATCTTATTATGAATATAATAGAAATTAGATAAATTTATTATTAAAATGGTTAAATTCCTTTTATTATTGATCCTTACAAAGCTTGGCTCCTCCTATATTTACTACGACACTGGAATGATTTATGACTTAGATTTCGAGCATGATTCAAGTTTTAACTGCTAAAACGGTGTCTCTAAAGTAGTAACCAAAACATTTTCGAATTAATTTGAGTAAATTCCTCAAGTATTTTTTACTTTTGAACATATTGATATAGAATCATCCGATATGGGGTTTAAATTAGCAATAACAACTATTACTACAACATGTAATTATTAAAATCGATGATATTAATAGCATTTACATTAGAACTAAATTGTTATTGGCGTCGAGCATATACCCTGATACTAAGGTGGTTTGCTTTTGATGACTAACGTATTTAAGTTTTAAGTAATTTCAATATGGAGAATCCAGATGATAAAACCTTTTAAATTAAAAATCCAAATGCTTAAACTGGGTTTCTATAACTCACAAGTTTGCGTTATACAGGACAAATTGATTTTCTATTATCGGTGATCATTATTATTATTATAGATAAGCCAAATTACTACTAATTCAGTAACTGTCAGCATTACTAAAGTAGCAGGAAAGTTTTCAAATCTTAAATTGATTGGGTATTTTGTCGTCGTAGGAGTTGAAGAA